ACACACTCAGGGAGCAAAGGTTCACAATCAAACAGAGAAGCACCCAAACTGTCCCTTAGCAGCCACACACCTGTGGACCCCACTACAGGGCACTTGAGGAGCCTCATCGCTTGTCCTGCTAACCTATACCACCATGAGGCTTTACATGAAAGCTTCTGTGTGAGCCTTTAGTACAACTCTCTGCGTAGTGGGCTAAGAACCTGGAAACACCCAGCCCAGAACTTCAGCACCACTAATAAAACCAACAAATCTGATGAGCTCCAAAACTAAAAAGAGACTGGCCTCAAAATTATGATGAACACACTGAACATCAACCTCTGGCCTGTAAAGACACAGCACACCTGTGAGCGTGCGCACAACACACGCACAAATAAAACACATGTGAACAAACCACATATATAAGAAACACAATTAACAAATGAACCTCTTGAAGGAAAGTTGGAGTGGGCTTTTTTTGTTTTTGTTTTTGCCATGTAGAGGCCTTGTGCATGGCAGGCAGATATGATTTCCCCAAGCTATATCTCCAGTCTACTGTGATATTTAATTTTCAAATGCATACAAGAGTCCATGAACGCACAAAAGTAGAGCTGAGAATCGTGGCACCTCTGACCAGAGAATGTTAGAGAATTTCTTATGTGAAATTGGGCTTTATGGACTGCAGTAAGAACACAGTATCCCTGAGTGAAGATGCTTGCCCACATGTTTTATGATTTGCCATAATAAACATCATTAACCATGGCTCACATAACGGCTTCTATCTTTTTTCTTAATACACAAAAGGACCTAACTCTGAAAACCACAAAGGCTAAAGACTGAACATTAAACATTACTGTGAAAATAGCGGTAAACTTATAGTTGAAACTCAACTGGAAAGGGACTTTAATTGAAGTATGTTAGCTTAATATTATTGCCTCAAAACAACTTATAAAATCAGAGAAAAATGAACCCATAACTGAATCTGAGTGTACACTGTCTAAACTTGGAGCACTCCGCCCCCCCATCCACCCCTCCTTTGTATGCGTTCAACCACGTGCACACTGTCTGTCCAGACAGACTTCATTCCTCTATTGCTCCCACACCCCTTTTTTTTTTGAGGCAGGGTCTCTCACTGTACCTGGAAATTCACTGACAGTTGGAATCCTTTCATGATAGTTTGCTTTTAGCACTGACAAAAATTTATTTATTCTTTAAAATGGTCTTTTTTCTGTTTCTGGGAATTGAAAGAAGGAAGTGAATTGCAGAGTGGACAGTGAAGGTGCAGGAAAAACAGGAAGCCACACTGTGGCTACCCTGTTAAGCAGCTTCTACCTTGTTCTGTGATAATACAGAGTTCCAAAGGCATACAAAGAAAAATAGGAACAAAGCAAAGATATTCTATAAAAGTGTTAACTCTGGTGGAATATGTTAAATAGGTTATGGATCAGGCGAGAAGCTGGGCAGCCCTGGAGCAGTGCAGGAGCAGCGCGGAGCCCGTCCACAGAGCAGACCGCACACAGAGCAGGGCAGGCTGAGCAAGCAGACAGCTTACACAGACACGGACACCAGAACTCCTGTGCTGCCCACCCACAGCCCTCGTAGGATACCTCACTACACTCGGAATGTTTTAAATCAGTTACTAACATTTAAAAACTCAGAAACTTCTAAATCTGGAGATTTTAGTTTTCTTAAAATATCAGCAGACGTGAGCCCAGACAAGCTGGGCAGCACTCCCCCTCAGCCTCCTTTCCACACTGCTGCAAACCTGCACATCACCCCGTCTCCACAGACATCGGCGTTACATTCACTATGTTCAGGCTCTCTGGATTTTTGCTGGTGTTTTGTTTTGATATCGAGGCTTACCCACATGGGGAAATGCCCTTAATTAGGTGTAACTCCCTCTCTAAAGGTAGGGATCTTTTCTAACTCAGCAGCCAGAGGGATGGTAAACGTTAAATTAGACTTAGCCATACATACTGTTTCAGAGAATGACCAGCAACAAACTCAAATCTTAAAAACTGGATTCTTGGGGCTGGAGAGTTGGCTCAGCAGTTAAGAGCACTGACTGCTCATCCAAAGAACTCGGGTTCAATTCCCAGCACCCACATGGCAGCTCCCAACTGTCTGTACCTTCAAGATCTGCCAACCCTCACACAGACATACATTCAGGCAAAACACAAGTGCACATACAATGAAAATAAATAAGTTAAAAAAATAATAAAGGTTCCTTTAAAAAAAACTGGATTCTTCAGACATTAGTTTACAATGACAATGAAGAAAAACTTCTGGCAGAAACAAGCCCCTCCTGAAGGGAAGGGCTTCCCAGAACCCTAGTAGTACCTCCTGTCACACACTGCGGCATACAAGCCCCACCTCCAACTGACTCTTAGGCCTCTGTGACACTGTGAACAGAGCTAGCAGCTCACAGAAGAGGGGAGATGGGGCAGAGGGGGGTTGGGTACAGCGGAACATGTCGGTAATTCCAGCACCTGGGAGGCAGAAGTTCAACACCAGCCTCAGATGAATAGAAAAAAAGCAGGGACTACGTAAGTCCCTGTTTCAAAAACACAACAAAGGAAAAGGGCAAAGGGACACTCCCCAAGCATACCAACAGGGCTATGAGCCAAAAGGGACCTAAGTCCCAGATCTTTTTTTTTTTAAGATTTTATTTATTATGTGTACAGTGTTCTCCCTGCATGTGCACCTACAGGCCAGAAGAGGGCACCAGATCTCATTTAGATGGTTGTGAGCCTCCATGTGGTTGCTGGGAATTGAACTCAGGACCTTTGGAAAAGAAGCTACTGCTCTTGACCTCTGAGCCATCTCTCCAGTCCCCTAAGTCCCAGATCTTAAATTACATTTTTCATTACTGGGATATTCCTGAAAGTTCTGGTTCTTTGAAAGCACCATAAAACTTAGTATATTTTAGACTTTTAACATGAATTTTAGCTTTCCAAACCACAAAGTGTGAAAATGGTTAGAAATGTGTTTAAAATAATTGTAATTCTGAAATTTCTAAGAATTTTCAGGAATACTGATTTATTATCCCTGGTTTTCAAAATGTAGCATGGAGGGCAGTTGAGAACACTGGGAATTTGCTTTTTCTCACTATGTGTTATAATTCTAAAATGTATTGTTGCTTAATAAAAGTACTTTTATAAAACAGGATGAGTCAGAAACCTGTGCTTGAACTTCAGGCAGAAAGGGGGAAGGTGGGAGGCAGGAAGGAAGGAGGGGCTTAGACCCATTCAGTATCAGAACTATTAACATGACAGTCAAGCTAAAGACAAAAAGGTGTTGGGATTATTACTTTGCATGCTCCTACTCACTCCTGAAACAATAGAGGAATCTCACAAAGACGGCTATAGGAACACAGCGAAGTTACTAGTTGTGAGATGAACATGCCAAAACAGTGATTCCTCAATATCACTCAGGGATAATATGAATGAAAAGTCAAACATAATTGTAAACAAAACTATAAAGTACCCAAGAATGACATTAATAAAATTAATAAAAGGTACAAAAAAAGTCAGCCGTCCTGTACAGGCAACCAGCGAGGGACCCTCAGGGCTAAAGGTTTCTGACCATCACTGTGATTCACTCCTAAAACCCCGTTCAAGGAGACCAGTTGGGAGCAGTGCTGTGAATTCAAGGCTGTGAGTGTGGGAATCAGGCTGTGAGAACAAGAGACACCCTGATACGAGAACACCCACGAGTGCCCAAAAGCCGCCAGTCAGAGCTGGGTTCAGGGAAATGACCCCCAAAGAACCCACGGCTTCTTCCTAGTGACATTGCGGGTCACATCCAGACCCTCATCTCCCTGCTCAGTTCTAAACCATGAAAGCCAGGTCCAGATGTTCAGGTTTCTCGGATGCACTCAGGAAGCTGAACCAGAATGCAGGTGTGAGAGCCCGCTCCTCACATGAATCAACTGAAAGGTCGGGTGGGAAAAACCTGTTCTCTTAAAAGACTTCAGGCAACTCTCAAAAAAGCTTTTAGCAGAGAATGTCACCAATTGCATGTATGGAAAATAAAAGAGTATATAAGGCTTTTACATTATTTTGGAATAGAATCAAAAGGAAAAACATTTAGTAATATCTTCACATTATTAAGAAATTCCCAAATACCACAGCCCTTACCAGCTCAGACTCCGTGAGCGTTGGCCTTTGACATGATTTCTGGGTAACCCTAACTCTCTACAGCAGCAGCTCTCACCCTTCCTAATGCTGCGGCATTTAACACCGCTCCTCATGTTATGCAGAATCCCAAACATAAAATAATTTTGTTGCTACTTCATACCTGTAATTTCGATACTGCTGCTAATCGTAATATAAACACCTGATGGGCAGACTGTCTGACAGGCGACCTTGAAAGGGACCGAGACCTGCAGGCTGAGCACTGCTGCTCGAGACAAAAATAGTGCCCTAAGAAAACTATGATGTAGCCAGCTATGGTGGGACAAGCCTGGAAGCCTGGGACCTGGGAGCTACAGGCAGAATAGAGGCTGTTCAGTATCATCTTTGACAACATATAAAATTCAGGTCAACCCCTATCTCAAAACTGAGAGAGAAAGAAAACATTTATAACATAAACAAGTGGTTTGACACACCAGAGAAACATCTGCTTACATAGCAATAATTAATATTGTAAGGGACTTTACCTATAAATTCATGAAGGCCACCTAAGGACTTTTCTAGATAATAGTTCATTAGACAAATAATTATGAGTATATATAGGCAGAATAATAAAAGGGACATATTTTAACGAATGCTTTAAAATTTATGCTTTTTGTTACATCAATCCCACTTTTACACACTGCTATCAATTACTGAGGTTTTTGTACAACAAAATACATAACCCTCCACTGACAGAGGAAACAGAAATCTCTGTGGAGGTGTGGTGGCCACGCCTGTGAGCCGTCAGAGGAGACACAGTGGACAGGTTGCTGTGAGTTTAGAGGCAGCCACGCTAGCAAGACCCCATCTCAGAAGAACAGAAACAAAGGAATGCTTCTTTGTCCTCACCTTGGCTGTTCTCCACTCCCAACCGTCACCTATGTGTTGTGAATGTTGGATGAACTCTGCACAGTAATGTTGGAAGCTTTTTTCTCCAAAGAACTCATCTTCCATGTTAAATGAGAACTGCAATAAAATAAATAAATAAACAAACAGACATCAGTACTAGCTCCTTCCTAAGCTGCTCAGGGTTGGGTCACTCATAAGATCTTTCTTTCTCTTTCCATATTCTTACCCTGTCCTCATTTGTTTTTAGATAACATGAAAACCTAAAAGCCTGTACTTAGAGTATTTGTTTACGGAGTCTTCTTTGTCTAATTTTTAGTTGTTTCAGAGGGATCCCTGTCTAGTTTTCTTTTGAATTGCTGGGCACTGACCCCAGGGCTTCATACATGCACCTAACAAATTAACAGATCATTCAACCAAAAAATCTGGGCTGTTTGTTTGTTTGTTTGTTTATTTTTAAAATGACAAGGGTGATGTTGAATGTAGTATAATCCACACTTTTAGTTTTACCTAATTCTAAGACAATGCTTTCAAATATGCTCCTCGGGACATTTCTGTTTCCTGCCTCAGCTCTCACACTGACTGTTGCAGTGATTCATGGAAGCCAGCTGCCCTTCACACTTTATTAGAAGGGTCAACTCTCCAGCAAATGCTGCTGCAAAGCTTGAAATTGCTTTCCAAGGTATAAAGTTAATTAATTACTACTATATCAAACTCACAAATGGGACATACTAAGAAATACTCATATTTGTTGTAGAAAGCTGTTCAAAATAGAAAATATTGTTTACAGAAAGAATTTTAGCACATAAGAAAAATGCAAGATCATATAGTTAAGGCCCCTCAGTGAAAGAAGTTAGTCATAACAAACGCTCATTCTCATTAGCTATGAGCATCAAGACTACTGCTTATTATAACAGCCACTGTAGTGCTGGTCACTTCACATCTCCACTTAATCCTCTCACAGGCCACAGGCGTGTTGTTTCCATTCCTTAGATGAAAAATCAGAAGGAATCTGTTCACAAACACGAATAAAAAGGGACTCAGGGTCATGACCAGTCTATTATTCATGCTGATTCCCAAACCACTATGCAGACTATTCAAATTTAGCATAACCTAGAGAAGAATGTGTCTATTCACCCACCAATAAAAACTGAATGCATATTAAATAGCCTTTGTGCATATAAAAGAGTTAAACATGAAAAACGCAGACACTTTGCCTTGTCCATGTTCTAAGGAAGGGAGATCAACAACAGAAGTAACTTCAATAGAAACTGCCTTACCCAACCACACAACCATGCTGATTAACTGACACACAGCCTGGCTGCAGCAAACTGACTCACTCTGCAGCATGATGACCATAAAGCAGTCTGGTCCTGAGAGACGAGTGTGTGCTCACAAACCACACTCTTCTATCATAACTAGGGAATTTAATTAAGCAAACCAACAAAATACAAGAAGACAACTGTAACTTCTGTGACTGCATATCTTGCAAATGCTTCATTGACGGCCAGATAAAGCTATGTCTCCATATGAAAATCAAACTGCTACTAAGCAGGGAAGGACAGTGTGAATGAAAGAAAGCATTGGCACGGTGGGAAAAACATACACACCCACGATTCTGGATTCAATCAGCTGTATAGTGGCTTTGATCTTCCTTAATCAAAACTAGAAACTAGGATGCTGTGTCTTGGTTCAGGTTAAACAAGAATAAACTACGTGTAGGGCTGTACCTGTAACTCTGGCACTTAAGAAATGGAAGCAAGACGTTCAAGAGTTCAGGGTCACCCTCTGCATCACAGAGAAGTCAAAGCTAGCTTGGGCTACATCAGACTCTAGCTTTTAAAATAAGAAGAGGGCATGAACAATCAATTTCAATCAAGTACCTTCACTCAAAAGTGAATGCTTGAGCCATACATTCAATTTTTTAAAATACATTTCCACATTTTAATTTATTTTTTGTACTACACACCTTTTTTTTTTTCCTTTTTTATGAAATAGTCTTCCTGTATAGTCCAGGCTAGCTATAAAGTGAAACTCACTATGTAGACCAGGCTAGCCTGGAGCTCATGGCTCTCCTGCCTGCTTCCCAAGTGCTGTGACTATAGGAACACACAGTTACACCTGGCTCTTAGCAGTGAAACACACTCCAGGTTTTCTGCTATTTTTTTGTTTGTTTGCCTGCCTGCCTGCCTGCCTGCCTGTCTGTCTGCTTTTGAAGATAGGGTTTCACTATGTAACCCTGGCCTGGAGCTCCCGGTACAGCTCTGGCTAGACTCAAACTCGTAGCAGTATGATCCTCCTGCCTCTGCCTTCTAAATCCTAGGTAACAGGCAAACACACGCCACCCCGCCAGTCTGCCCATATTCTTAATACGGCTTTCAGATGCACATGAAACTTCACGTGCTAAATTTTATGTATATGCAGCTATCCATAGTTCTCCTGGGAATCATTTCTAATTCCCTACAGGTGTTTCTAAGGTCCTATCAAAACATCAAGAACTTCTGTGCACAAGGCCAGGAACAAGGCTGAAAGTTTTAAGGTATCTACAGAGGAAGAGGAACCAACAAAGGCCTAGAGAATAAGGAGACAGCCTTTGGAGATCCTAGCAAGGTCAAAGTCAATGAGCCAGGAAGAAGGCTTTGCAGGAAGCACAGCATACCCAGGACCTACAATGTTAAAAGTTAGGAGTGACCCACTGAGAAAGAATCAAACACCTCTACGGAACATGACAGTGAAGCAGTCCTTGTCACTGCATCAATGACAGATGCAATAATGGACTGCAGCCACACAGAAAAGCAAGCTGTGTTGGACTAAGGAGAAAACTGCCGACTAAGTCTTCAACATGGTGAGTGAGCTTCAAAGCAGTATTTACGACGGCCCACAGGCTTAAGGGAGGAGATATTTAAACTGAGCACAGGAGGCTGGTAAAAGAGAGCCCATCCATACTACAGAAAGCTATTGGGAAACAAAACACTGAGCTCTCGTGACAGCATGTTCTTACCAGAGCCACCGGATGGTTAGACTCCCTTGCAGTTGGAGGAGGCATTTAAGGAGAACTGCAGAACTCAAGGAGCCTTTAGGAGTTTCCGTTTTAAGGAAGAGGAGTCACACGACACTCTGATGCAAGCAGATGTGTAATTGTTGGGAGAGCACCTAAGAAAGTGCCAAATGGAGTCCTGCTGAGAGACAGGAGACATCACGTAAGGGTAACAGCGAAGTGACACCCAGCCAGCCTGGAGAGCCTGGGTTTGAGGGCAGAAGAGTCTGTCTCAACACTTAGAAAAGCATACAGAACCAGAAGACTGAAAAGGAACTGTCATAAAGACATACAGTCCTGACATACAGCAAGAAAGAACAAATCGCCACAAACAGAATTTAATTCATGAAGAACATAGACTTATGCCATGCCTAGTGGTTTATCTCTTTAATCCCAGCACTCAAGAGACAGAGGCAGGCCTATCACTGTCAGTCTGAGGTCTGCGTAGTGTATGTACACAGTGAGTTCTAAGCCAGCGGGCTACAATAGTGAGACCCAGTCTCAAAGAAAAAAATATATATATAGGTTTTAAAAACATGGAAAACACATGAAAATAGATTATATACTTAGGAGCTTTAAAATCCCAAGGAAACTCTTAGTAACAAAAGAACAAGTAAAAAAGCTCCATCCCCTAAGCCCTCCAGGTACTTGAGATTTACTGAACTATTAAAAATGCTAGTTGAAACATAAAATTCCATTCAATAGGCATGCTTTATCTAATTAACATCAGTGTGCTACTAGCAAGATGACTGAACATCAAAACACTAATTAATATTGGGTTGTATACTTTTAAAATTATCTAAGGACTGAGCTTTGCTGAAGGATGATATATACTATAATGCAAACACAGCTTGATTACCAAATTGGAAAGTATACCATATTAAAAAGGTATTAATCTCACTCAAATCCTCACGATGCCATAATGAAATACCATTGAATAACCATTTCTTTGCTCAAGGAAGAATATCTCAACTTATTAAAAAATAAAAACATAATGAAATCAACATTTTTAGTCACACTTTCAAGCCTAGATTCTTGCTCTTCCTCTGCCATGTTCAGTGTCTCGTAGAAGCAGAAATCATAGTCTTAGAACTTCCTGTAGGAGATGCCTGAAAATGTGGCCAAAATGAAATAATTATAACCGTGGCTCATTGGCCAATAGCAGCAACAATCATACCATTTGCCTGGGTTAAGCAAAGCAGCTTGGAGAAGCATCAAAAGGAAGGAGGGAGGCAGTTCAGTCTTGGGGACCTGGTGGGCCAGTCTCCCTCCCTGCCTTTGGGGAATGCACACCGCCAGCCAAAGCTTAAACCAGAGGCAATGTGTTCTTGGATTGGAGCTGGTATTTTTGCTACCCTCTCCAGCAGGAAGAAACAGGAAGCATTTCACTATTCTCCGTTCTCTGTTCCCTTCAGGGAGACGAGCTAAGTCGCCGTCCTCCTGCTGTTTTTCACCCTGTAATGTGAGGCACTGGACACTATGATAGAGAGCCAGCAGTGGAGAGCTTTGGGGACAGCGTGGCCTTCAAAAAGTAGTACAGTCTCGCCATCACCTTCCCCAAACCTTGCATTTATAAGCTACAAGTGAAACAAAAACATTCCCCAGGTTACAGGCACGAGAGGAAATACCTGCGAAGCCTCTCCTGAACCCAGGAGAGAAGCCTCCTTCCTAAGGCAGTCATGCCTAACCTGCTACTGAGAGGACACGCCCTCCTGGACATCTGCTGGTAGGGAGGGAGATGAAGGGCCATTTGCTTACTCAGTCAGCAACAGCAACCCACACAAGTCCCTATCTGTCAGCCACTAAAGCGATGTCAACAGGAGGCCAACGAGAAGCTCCTGCAGAAGAAAAGCTGAGGAGGTTGACAAAGTGTCGGAACTCCAGCACCCAAAGAAAGCAAGAAAGACATGTCTTCTAAAATTAACTAATTAACTAATTAATAGAAATAAAATTATAAAGTTGAAGAGAAAAAGCCTTTTTCTATAATGGCTGAAAAACCTGAAACCTAAAAAAAAAAAAAAAAAAAAATCTACTCTATGTTACTAACTTAAAAAAAGAAAACAACATATCTAAATCCAAGATATAAAAACAGGAAAAAATGTTTACAATTAAAAAGTAAACTGGGACGCAGGTACAGCAGTAAACACCTCTACTTCATGCAATGGGGAAGCTGAAAATGGAGGAAGATGAGCCGACCAAGGCCAGCCTGGGCTTATACAGATAATATGTACCAGGCCACCTATGTCACTAGACCCAGTCTGAGAATCAGAAAAGAAAAAACAGAGAGAGAGAGGTCAGGAAGAAAATTCAAATATAAAGAACCAGAAACTTAAATTCTACATTATAGATAAGAAAGAGAAGTATACAAGTTTGGGTGGGGGAATAAAATTAGTATTTTAGCATATACTCCTGAAATATTTCCCCAAAACACAGGAAAAAAAAGACTAAAATGAAAATAATCCCAATTGATTAACAGGCATGACAAAGAACACAAATATAACCTACAGACGACTAACAGTTAGTTGGCTAGTTAGTGACACGATTTCATGCATCCCAGGATGGCCTTGTGCTGTTGGACCAAGGGTGGTCCTGATCTTTCCCCTTCTGTCTCCCAAGCGCTGGGATTACAGATGTGTGCTGCCGAACCTGGATCTTACTGTGTAGGTCAGGCTAGATCAGAGCTCAATTGGAACCCGAGTTAACCTCAAAGCCATAATGTTCCTGTCTCAGACCTCCAGTGCTAGAATTAGAGGCATGTACTAACACTTCGGAAAGAACTGATATTTCTGATTGAAAATAATATGCCAATCTAAATCAAATTCTCTTCTTGCCTTTGCATAATGGGACTCATGTACAAATTCTAGTCAGGGCATATGTCATCAGCCTAGAACTAAGAAGTAATGGGGTATTATTTGGGTAAAAATATCTAACAAAGGCACTAAAAGATGAACATACTATGTTTAAGAAGCTACAAACTCAGTGCCAATTTGAATACAGATGGCATAATATGAATCTTTAAAATATACTGTCAAATGCCACTGTGTTTGAGGGAAGAAAAAAGTAAATGGCAGAAAATTTTTGTGATGAAAGAGTCCCTTCAAAAAAAAAAAATTTTTTTTTTGTTTTTGCAAACTCTGTCCAGAGACTAAGCACCTTCCTATTTCCACAGACATCTTCTTCATTTTTTAGCTCATGTATCATATCCTAGAAGTTAATTCTGTGCTTCCTCATGAAAAAAAAAATCAAAATTTCCCTGAGAACATCATGGTAGACTCCAAAACAGGGAGTTTTGAAAACATGAATTTAATTCTTCAAGAACTGAAATTTGAAATTTGAACATGATTGACCAGGTGGAAACAAAATCATTCCAATAAGGGAGCACAGTTCTTACAAAGATAGTCTAAAAAGAGCACAAGGTAGATATACATACATACATACATACATACATACACGCATACACATGTGAATGGAGGGATCGAGGGAAGGAGTAGAGATTAAGTCGAGCCCCGGGCTAGTGTTTAGAGCTATGGTGTAAGGTCTATGAAACACGCAGAATCACACTAGGTCGTAACAGTTTGTTATTAAAAAGAACAACTGTAGTTTGCTATTGTCATTCACTGCTGAAGGACCAAGTATATAAACCTCCTACAATGTAGAGCTCTGTACTATTCGCAGCAGAAGGCTGGAGAGGCGGCTCGGCAGCTAACAGGACTTGCTGCTCTTACAGAGGACCTGTAACTAGTATCAGGGAATCCCTCCTCTTCTGGTCTCCATGGTACCCACCCTCAGTGGCATTCACAAAAACACACGGATGCACATAATACATATTTTCTCGAAAGTAATGCTGGTAGAGGGATGGGGTCATCCCCAGGAATAAGAGTGCTGGAGTCAATCCCTCTGTCAAAAACAACAACAACAACAACAAAATCCACACAACAACAAAAAGCATACCATCAGGAGAAGCTGGAAGATACAGCAATACACACCTGAGTCATGAGAATCAGGAGTTCAAGATCAACCTCAGCTGCATAGTGAGTCCCAGTTCCAGACAAGCGTGTGCTACATGACACCCTGCCTCAGCCATCATCATCATCATACACTAGAGCCTCCCGCACAATGTGGTAGTTACAGGTCAACAAGATGAGAAAAATTGTAGCTTCTGTGTTCTCTCTGAAACCTGTGACCATAACTGCCATTTCATCCACTCAATACTCATGTCTAAGTGCTAGGAGATAAATCATGGTACAATGAACCTTCAAAGAGCTTGGGGCACTAAGAGATTCAAGAACTGGGCAGTTCCAGAATACAAGCAGGCCAGGCCCCACCACAGAGGAGCACACAAAGGCTTTTCCAGACAGAATACAGAACAAGGCAAAGAAAATATCTGAAGGCTTTGAGTGACACAATGGACTTATTTGGACCATTCCAGTAGAAACTCCTTAGTTGGAGGTCAGCTGCTAGAGAGAGCTGAAGTTTTGTTTTCCTTGAACATGATGGTTTCCACTGAGTTGAGTTTTTGTTTGCTGACATGGGAATCCATAGTGATGGTACCTCCTGAGGCAATGATTTCCCGATTATTTTAACACAGGAAGCTATGGTATGCTTCCATCTTTTCCTTTGACCATCATGAAGCTCAGAAGTTCACCTGTGGCTGCCTCTAGTAACTGTATAGAAATAGGAAAAAAATATGCAGCTCTTCATAGAATGGATTTTGGTGACTCATCCTAATGTTATCTTTCTATTTGAGCTTCATACTTTCATGACCATGACTTATCTTTGTTATTATATCATGTATAGGTTATAAGTCATCTCAACTACTTTTGGGACAGATGGGATTTGAGTTTAAAATTATAAGCAAGATAGATAAAATGACTAATATGAAAGAAACCAGATAACAAGATAGGTAGAAAAAAAAAAAAAAAAACATAGTGAGCCCTCATATCACCCTGAGAGATTTGAGACTTTAAGAAAAAAAAAAAAGTATAAATCATGGCTTTGCTTTTAACAGTGGGTAATCAACTTTATATAAAAACTTTCAAGCTGAAAAGAACACTAATAAAATACAATAAAATCAATGATAAAGTATACTATAACTGTTTAAGGAATCAATATGGATTGATGTAATAATTAAAAATAGCATTATTAAGCCTTTCCTACGTATCAACCATGGTAACTAAAATCCTCACAGCATCTCTTTGAGGTATATTACTATGATTTTTCTCTATACACGAGGAATTTGAAATAAAGGATAAAAGTAGCTTGTTACAGCTGTTAACGGTAGAAACAACCAAAAGCATCAGAGCACTGTGCCTGTGCTCTAGAGGAAGTAAGATTTCAACTATTCCTGGAATTACAAATTGAAAGAAATCTGTAGCACTGAATAAGTGATGGAGAAGGAGCAATAATGAACCTAGGAACAGGCTGGAATGACACAGCGTAGACAGCTAAAAAGCCTGACTAGACAGTGAATTGAGGACTACAGGAAAATCTGGGGAACAGGGAGCAAGCAGTTTACAAGGAGCCTTCAAACTCAAGAGATTCTACTTAAAACAGCGAGCGACAGCAAACCATCGTAGGGTCCAGAGCACAAAGCATCAGATGAAAGCTCTTCTTGGAAACCTACTACTAACCCGAACTTCAAAGGAAAACTGTAGTAGTTACTGTCCCTGGCTACGTGATAGACCAGCGAGCATTTAGTGTACCACGCATAGTAGAGGGGCCTCTGCTTCTACAGTAGGTTGACTTCAGGCGCAGCACACTCTGTTACCCTACTTTCCGGTTGTTTTGCAGCCTATTTGGGCCCTGAAGACACTCGGTATCAGTGTACCGTCACCAAATAATCTCTATAGCTCCTTCTTTTGGATGTTGATTACCCTTGTGATTCAAACGTAAGCACTGAGGTCCAAGCATTAAAGTGCCATCAAGACACACACAGGCATGTGGTGGATGCCTGTCATCTCGAGAGGCTCTAGGGGCTGAGGAGAGGTTGGAGAAGTCTACACTAGACTGGACTCAGTAAGGCCCTGTGGGGTGGCACAGTCTGCCGAGTGAACTTCGCCTACTGCGTTCAGTGCCCAGCGTCGCGTAGACTAGGCACTGTGGAGACAGGAGGATCAGCCTAAGAGCAGCCCTAGCAGCGCGGGGAGCACGAGGCCATAGCCGGGTATTTCTTCACTGTTTGTCTTCGTTCTGGGTCTGCAGTGCTTGTCAGTCGGCTTACTCTTTCTGAGTTCAGTAATTCCTTTCCAAAGGCTTACTTTGAGTCATAATACATATTACCCTATTATGTACAGTACGTCATATGCCCTATTGTGTATAGTTTCATCTGTTACTCTTAATCTTGAACTATTCCACACTCAAGTGAATGGAGCTTAGAACTGTTTCCAGTAGTTTCTTCCATTAAAATATAAATAACAATTTTCTATTTGTTTTTGCTCATTGAGACACAATCTGGCTGTGTGAGGTGCAGAATGGCTACAAACTGGAGGTAGTTCTGCCTCCAGCTACGACAGCCTGGGGTGACAGGGACAGGCTTCTAACTCCCTCGTTACTCTTTATTTTTTCGCTGAAGTTTTCACTTTGTGTCATTTTCTCCTGCCAATACCTGACCCTTTGGAAGCGATGAGAAGTAATCACACCTGGAATCCTAAAACAGACTTGAGTACTGTACAGGATCTTTGTTCTCCCCCTAACAATCACAAACGTTCGCTTTGTCACCACAGTGGAGACCACTGTCAGGTCATGACTCAAAGTAAGCCTTTGGAAAGGAGCAAGCCAACTGACGAAAGAGCCCAAAAACCCGAGAACATGAAGCAAACACTGAAAAAAAACGATGGTTCCTATAACCTGGAATCTGGAATCTCGGCCACTCTGAGGAGAGGCTGAGGCAAGAGGCTCCAGGTAGCCGCTAGCCCAGGCTGAGAGTGCCCACCAGGAATCCCAGCTGTTGGGTGACTGAGGCAGCGTGGCCTAGAGCTGCAGGCTAGCCTGGGCTACACAGTATCAGTTTGTCTTAAAAACAAACCCAGTCTTTTATTCTTCTTCTTCCTCACGGCTGGAAACAATTTGCATCTTGTCAAAAACAGGTAGCTGCAGAGATTAGGGCTCCATTTTGACGGAAAGAACACGTGATCACGCCGGGCTCCACTACCAAGATTTTCACAATTATCACTACAAATAAGGACATGTCTTCTATAAATCAGCTCCCAGCTTTACAGATGGGAGGAGGGGGCGTGCTGGCTGCGCATCTGAAAGCAAACCTTCAGGTGGGCCCGCCAGTCTCTGAACTGCCTTTGTTTCAAGGTCACGTGAGCACGAGCCTAGCACGAGGTCAAAGGTCGCGCGGGCGGCCCGCGCCCGCCTCCCGGCCTTTTGTTTCGGGCTGGCCGCTCCGCCGCCCTTCCCGGTCCCGGGCGGCGGAGGCTGAGGCGCGCCGCGGTTGGGAGTACTCACCGCGCTCGCTCGCCCTCCCCGCAGCCGGCGGCGCGGCGGGCGGGGCGGAGGGGCG